AACTTCAAATGACTTTCAAAGATTTTTAGGAGACATTAATTGGATTCGTCCAACTTTAGGCATTCCTACCTATGCTATGTCTCACATTTTTTCTACCTTATGAGGTATTCTAACTTAAACAGTAAATGTGCCCTATCCAAAGAGGCATTAGAGGAACTTCAATTAACTGAAGAAAAAATTCAACAGGCACAAGTGAAGCAAACCCTATGCAGCCATTACAGTTTTTAGTTTTTCCTACTAAACATTCACCTACAGGAAGTACTGTTCAACAAAATGATCTGGTTGAGTGGCTTTTTCTACCTCACAATACAACCGAAATGGTCACTCTGTACTTAGATCAAATTGCTGTACTAATAGGACAAGCAAGGCTGCACACAACAAAGTTAATAGGATATGATCCAAATCAAATTATAGTTCCATTAAACAAACAACAAATTCAGCAAGCTTATATTAATTCCCAGGAATGGCAAGTTAATTTGGCAGGGTTTTTGTTGGCATTCTTGATAATCTTTATACTAAATCTAAGATATTTCAATTTCCAAAATTAACATCCTGGATATCACTTTCTGTTACTCAAAAAGCCCCTATTGAAGGGGCCATTACTGTTTTTACTGACGAGTCTAGTAATGGAAAAGCCTCACTTGTGGGACCTCAACAACAAGTTTTCCAAACTGACTTTGCTTCTGCTCAAAGGGCTGAACTTACAGCTGTAATTACAGTACTGAAAACTTTTAAACAGCCAGTTAATATTGTTTCTGACTCAGCTTATGTGGTGCAAGTCACACAAAATATTGAAAGTACTTTAATTCGTGATGTGATTGCTGAACAACTTAATCTTTTATTTCATTCTTTACAACAAGCAGTACAACAAAGACATTCCCCTTTCTATATTACTCATATAAAAGCACATACTAACCTCCCTGGTCTTTTAACTAAACTTAATCAAAGGGCAGATGCACTGGTTTCTGCAGCTTTTGCTAAATGACAAACATTCCATTCTTCAATGCATCTTAACACTGCAGGCCTCAGAAAAAGATATGGCTTATCCTGGAAGCAGGCTAAGGAGATTGTAAAACACTGCTCTGCCTGTCAAGTCCTGCATCTGCCACATCAAGGAGCAGGAGTCAACTCTAGAGGTTTATCTCCAAATTCCATGTGGCAGATAGATGTAACACACATTCCCACTTTTGGAAAATTGTCCTTTGTTCATGTTTCAGTAGATACTTACTCACATTTTATCTGGGCCATGTGTCAAACAGGGGAAGCTACAGCTCATGTTAAAAGACGTCTTTTTTCTTGCTTTGCAGTTATGGGAATCCCAGAAAAAATCAAAACTGATAATGGCCCAGGGTATTGCAGGAAAGCCATGGCTACATTTTTTTTAATACTGAAACATTATTCACACTACAGGTATTCCATATAACTCACAAGGACAGGCAATAGTTGAAAGAGCTAATCATACTTTAAAAACTCAAATACAAAAATAAAAAGAGAGAGATCAGGAATGTAAAACACCCCATATGCAATTATATTTAGCTTTATTAACATTAAATTTTTTTAATTTACAAAGAGATCAACCCATGACAGCAGCTTAACAACACTTAACAGGACAAAAAGAAAATAAAAAAGCTGGACAAGATGTATGGTGGAGGGATGCACATACAAAGAGTTGGGAAAAAAGAAAAATAATTACATGGGGAAGAGGATTTGCTTGTATCTCTCCAGGTGACAATCAGGTGCCTATTTGGGTGCCCACCAAACATCTGAAGATCTATCATGACCCTCACCAGGAAGAGAGGACTCTATGAAGAGCCAGAACTCCTGATGCAAGTGATAGCATGAATGAACTCTCAGAGACAAAGGAAAAGACCAAAAATACTCCCAGGCAGATCCTCCAACATGGGGACAAATCAAGAAACTGGTGCAGATGGCAGAAGACAATCTGAGAGCACAGAACAAACCAAAAACAACTAGTAACGTAACAGTGGCTATGATGGCAGTACTCACTGCGGCAGTAAGCCTCCCTACTGTAAGAGCAACTCAAAATTTTCCTTATTGGGCATATGTCCCATTTCCTCCTTTAATTAGGTCTGTGAGTTGGATGGAACCTGTTATGAGGTGTACCAATGACAGTACCTGGATGCCTGAGCCCATAGATAACTGAGGGCCAATGCATGCTAATGAGGAAGGGATGAAAATAAATATATCAATAGGATATAAACATCCTCCAGTATGCCTAGGACCTGCCACTGGATGCTTACAAATTTGCACACAAGTTTGGTTGGCAGTAATCCCTGGAAAAAATAAATCACAGGCTACCTTGCATATGATTTCAGGGCAAAGTTTAAAATACAAACATTCTAGCCCTAAAACTCAGCAGTTCCATCCAAACAAACTCGAATGTAAACAAAATAGAGTTTGGTTTGAAGGTGTGGATGCTTGAAATTGGGAAAATTGTATAGCAAGTAAGGCTGAGGTGCTACAAAATAATTCCTATGGAATCGTCATTGATTGGTCCCCTAAGGGCATTTTTAAGAAAAATTGCACTAGAGGGCCTTCTTGTAAAATAGGCCAATGGAATCAGAAAAAAACTATACACAGTATATTCAGACAGAAGCTGATGTCTCTATCATATGGAGCCCTGGTGGCATTGTCACTCCTAGTCCAAAAATGATATCTCCTGCCATAGGACAGGAACATTCAGAATTATGGAAATTAGCTATGGCTCAAAGTTCAATCAAAATTTGAGAGGGTAAATATAATAAGTATAAAGGACAGGGAGGTAAAGATAAATATGTTCTCTCCTTTCTTTCTAACAGGACCTTTTGGATTCAAAGTTGTGTCCGGCCACCTTTTATGTTAGCAATAGGAAATATTACTCTTGACATGAATACCCGTTTTATCACCTGCCCTGAAGGTCACTTGTTTACTTGCATTAACTCAACCTTTGATAAAAACCAAACTATCTTGTTAATTAGAGCCAGAGAAGGAGTCTGGATCCGTGTGTCTCTAAATAGACCATAGGAGTCATCACTATCCATTCATATTGTAACTGAGATCCTTAAAACACTCTTATCCCATTCAGAAAGATTTATAGTTGCTCTTATATTTGCTGTAATTGGCCTCATTGTGGTTACCACTACTGCTGAAGTAGCTGGTGTGGCTTTACACTCATCTGTGCAAACTGTTGAATTTGTTAATAAATGGCAAAATAATTCTACAAAAAAAATTATGGAACTCTCAAGCCCAAATAGATCAAAAGATAGTTAATCAAATTAATGATCTCTGTCAGACAGTGACTTGGATAGGAGAATGCATTATAAGTTTAGAAACTAGAATTCAAATGCAATGTGATTGGAATACATCCGATTTTTGCATTACTCCTTGTGGTTACAATGAAACAGAACACCAATGGGAAAGAATTAAACGCCATCTAGAGGGAAGAGAGGAAAATCTCACCCTCAATATTGTAAAATTAAAAGAACAGGTTTTTGAAGTCTCTCAGGCTCACTTAGCCCTGCTCCCAGGAAGTGATATTTTAAGCAAGGCAGCCGATGGGTTGTCTGCACTCAATCCTCTTAAATGAATTAAGACCATTGGAAACTCTACACTTGGAAATTTTGTTCTAATAATTATGTGCTTGTGCTGTCTCCTTTTAGTCTATAGATGCGGAAGCTGCCTCTGGAGAGAAAGCCGCCGCCAAGAACAAGCAACGATAGCTGTGGCAGTTTTGCAGAACAAAAAAGGGAGACATATTGGTAGAAGGGCTGAGGCAGGGCTTGCTTGTCTGACGTAATGTAAAAGAGCCTTGGAACATGTCCTGGGTCCAGGGTCTAAAACCCCTTGTGGCCTATGGAACACCAAGCTCTTTGCCAAAGAGTGGAAGACTGCCCTGCTGCACTACAATCTAAGCCCAGTGCATAAAACCCTTCGTGACTTGGAGAGCACCCAGGGCTCAGGGCATAAAACCCATCGTAGCCTCTGGAAAGTGTTCAGACTCGCTGGCCCCTTGCTTCTTGCTCTCCAAAGATCATAAACTGATTGTATCTTGAATTAGAAGAATCTGTTCTCCCTTATTTCAAGTAGCAGAGCATATGCTAAACCGTCACAGCTACGCTTGATGCACCACTACCTTTCTACCCCCACATCCTCACGTCCTCACCTATCTACCCCCACGTCCATACCACCTGCTTCTTTGTTTGATTACCAATAAATAGTGTGGGCTCCCAGAGCTCAGAGCCTTTGCAGCCTCCATACTAGCATTGGCCCCCTGGACCCACCCTACGTACTCTTGTCTTGTCTCATTCCTTTGACTCCGTTGAACTTCATAGCCCCCACCAGCTGGTGTTGGGTCTGATCACCCAAACAGATTGTTGGAGGAAATAACTTGTTTCTTTAGCTTCACAGGTCCACAAATTAAAAGTGTGCCCCCAGGAGCTGCACTAAATGATTTGTAACATCTGCACCTGATTTAGAACATTTAGAAGGTAAGATTTTAAACTTCAAGTTTATGATGTTTAGGGGCCATTTTGGACTTTGAGGTGATTAGACGATGTGATTTAGATAATAATACTTTGGATCTGAGCTGATGATGAAACAAAATCTTTGAGAGGGAGTAAATGTATTTTGCCTTTAGGGAAAATAAGACTATTTGAAATTTAGAGGGAACTGTATGGTAGGTGATATGAAGATTTCTTCTCAGATTTTCTTCCATGGTAAACAATTACCATGCTGTAGGAAAGGCTGCATGCAACAGAATGGTGGGCAGCCTCTAAGAGTTGAGAGCAACTCTCCATTGACAGGCAAAAAGAAACCAGAATCTTCAGTCACGTAACTACAGGGACTGAATTCTGACAAAAACCATTGAGCTTGGAAAATGGCCGGAAATAAAATAACAGCCCTGCATCCAACTTGGAAAGGAAAACCTCAAATTCTCTTTGTTTGCAGGTGATACAATCATCTATTTGGAGAAACCTAAAGACTCCACCAGAAAACTAACAGAATAGTTAAACAAATTTAGTTAAGTTGCAGGATACAAAATTAACATACAGAAATCAGTAGTATTTCTCTATGCCACAGTGAACAATCTAAAAAAGAAATTAAGAAAGAAATCCCGTTTACAATAGATACAAATAAAACACTTAGGAATAAACTTAACCAAAGAAGTAAAAGATCTCTACAAAGAAAACTATAAAGCATTGGTGCAGGAAATTGAAGAGAACACACACAATTGACATATATTCCATGTTCATAGATCGGAAGAATCAATATTGCTAAAATGTCTATACTACCCAAAGCAATCTACAGATTCAATGCAATCCCTGTCAAAATACCAAGGACATTCTTCACAGAAGTAGAAAAAATAATCCAAATTGAACCACAAAAGACCCAGAATAGCCAAAACTACTGTAAGCAAAAAGAACAAAATTGGAGGCATCACATTACCTGACTTCAAATTATAGTACAGGACTATAGTAATCAAAACAGAAATGGACTGGCATAAAAACAGACACATAGACCAGTGGAAAAGAATAGAGAACCCAGGAATAAATCCCCACGCCCCTGGGCCCTTTCCTGTCTCCCCTTGTGTTCAGGGGTGGCTGCTGCTCTGAGAACATTAGAACTGGGAAGAGAGATGGAGCCAGTGCATTCTTGGTGGGTATTATCCTAAACTTTTAGATCCAAGTGAATCCCCCTTATTCACTATGGCATTGCCTAAGCATTGCCCTGTGACGGCTGCTAAAGAACTTCTCACCGGAGGCAGGCAGTGGCCATAGGCACTGCCCCTTGCATTAGGTCTTGTGTTTGATGTGCTCTTGTGAGTTTACTTTGTTAGAACAAAATATTTCCATGGTGGTCTTGGGAATCTCTTCCTTTAGCTCCCAATCTGCTATGAAATTCAGGAAAACATTTTTCCTTTTTCCTAGTACCCTCCTGTGTAGGTGCTGATTGTTTCAAAGTGTGTCTGACCACTGAAGGACCCCCTGGGTGACCCCAGACTCATTCACACCATGTATGAAAAATCGCCTGCATTTCTGAGATGCTGGCTGCCCGTTCAGTGCTTCACAGGAAGACACATGGGCTTTCCCTCTTCAGATGCCTGAAGGGAGTGCTTTGAGCTGAGTGGTTTGCTGGCCTCCCTCCAGCCCTAGGGCCCTCCATGGGTCTCGGCTCCCTGGAGGGTCACTGCAACCTCCCTGAAGGTTTCCTCTTGCACTGGCACCACTGCAACATATAGACCTGAGTGCTATTGTATTCTGGCTTGGTGTGTATGCTTTTCACTTTGTAAAACTGCCGTTCTTTTGACAATTCAAGTGACTGTTTTGTTTACTATATCCTTGAAAACAAAAATTGTAACAAAAACATTCCCATGACTGTGCTGTGGTTGGAGACTTTATTACCAACAGATTTACACCTTCATTTTCCCTCTTATTTTCAGGAGCTGTTTCAGGACTCCTCCTCCCCATCCCCCCCAATAACTTGAGTCTTTCCTATGTCATAATAAAGCTACATTTTCATCTGAAAACTGGCAGGTTCTCACTTCCTAACACAGACAGCCGAGGAGAGGGTGGCAGGAGGGAGAAGAGCAGCCAGGGCACACCAGCCTGCATGGGCGCATTCCTGGTACGAGTCAGTGGCCAGAGCTGCAGCCTGCTTTTGTGCCCAAAGTCTTGACTGGGGGTCAGGAAGGCCACGCACTCACATTTCATCTCTTTTTGTGACTGGTCTGCTGCTGGTTGACCTTTGTTCCTCCTTTTTTGGGCAGGAAGGTGACATCCAGGATTCAGGACAGCCTTCTGACTTGGGTGTGCATGAAAGTCACCTGAGGCCCTTGAAGTGCAGGAATCCTTGCCAGGGTTGGATTGCAAGCCCCAGGCTATGGTATAGCAATGTGCATTTTGTAGCAAGCTCCCTGCGTGATGGGAGAGTCACAAATGGAAAGAAATACTATAATCAGTGTAGAGAAGATGTGCACAGCTATACAAGTGTACAGTTCTGTGACAGATCACAAGGTGGGGGTGGATCTCCCAGCAGTCCCACCTACTTCCCTTGCCCTCAGTGGGTCAGGAGTCTCCTGCTTGGCCTCATCTTCGATTCTGAAGCCTCTGAGTTCTGCCCCCTACTTTTTCAGATGCCTCTGTGGCAAACCTGTTATTTGACTTTTATTTGACAGAGCCTCGCTCTGTCGCCCAGGTTGGAGTACAGTGGTGCGATCTTGGCTCACTGCAAGCCCCGCCTTGTGGGTTCATGCCGTTCCCCTGCCTCAGTCTCCTGAGTAGCTGGGACTACAGGCGCCCGCTACCACGCCTAGCTAGTTTTTTGTGTTTTTAGTAGAGGTGGGGTTTCACCGTGTTAGCCAGGATTGTCTGGATCTCCTGACTTCGTGATCCGTCCGCCTTGGCCTCCCAAAGTGCTGGGATCACAGGCATGAGCCACCATGCCCAGCCTATTTGACTTACTTTACATGGAAACATCAAGAACACCAGAGAATGCCCCAGGGTTCCAGGCTTAGTCCCATCTCTTCATTTTAAATAGAACCATTGTTGTCTTCCCCTGGGGGAAGCTTCACTCTGCCTGGGTCCTAAGACTTTCCAACCAGCAAAGCTCCATTTCTCCAGGACAGGAATAGGAAAACTTTGTGACTGAGACATTCGGTGCAATACTGAACATCATCCAGTTTCACACTTTCACTCTGAGAACTACACCTTCTGGGTGTCGGAGAGTCAGCACCGTATACTGGACTCCAGTAGAAAGCATAACATTTATCTTGTAAAACAAACCATCACTTCAGCGTAACTGAGCGATCCTGAGCCCAGTTGCTTCCAGGCGGCGACTGATGTAGTGAGAACAGTTAGTTCCCTGGTCAGGGGCCACTGCTGCATGTCCCTCGCTGTGAATGAAGTGACCTGGTCAAAAGCAATGCCGTGTGGGCTGCCATGATGGTGACAGGAAGGACGAGCAAGTCTATATCCAGGTAGGGGCTCCCTGCAGTGAAGGCCAATCTCAGCCCCCTCCACAGTGTGGGCAGCCTGCCCACAGGTGGTCAGCCGGTCCTCCTGGGAAATAGTGCCAGCCCAGGGATCCACACCAAGTCCCTCGTCAGCAGATGGGATGCTTGGCAGTGGTGTTGGCCTGGTCAGCCTTGGTCAGGGCACATGCAGCATGCTGAGCCTCTTCTGTCCCATGCCTGTCTGATGGCCACTTTGTCCCCGTCTAACATGGTGGCCAGGGAAAGAAGCTGACTCCATCTCCTGGCATGCCGTTTTGCCCACCTTTGATCAAGAGCATCCTCTGCAGGGATTCTCTTTGGTGGGAACAATGGAAATGTGGATGAAACCACCTTCACAGTCTGAGCCGCTGAGGCTCCTCTGCATTCTAGGAAGCCTGACTGGAAGGAGCTTGGCAGCGGTGCCTGCTGTGGTTGTGGCAGCGGCTGAGCTGCAGGACGAGGCTTCCGGGGGGGGGTGGTGTGGCAGGCAGGGCCTCAAAGCCTCCAGGTGGCATGTTGGCATAGCAGACCTGGGCACTCGGGGCGCTGTTGGGCCAGGCTCCGGAGTGCAGACTGCCAGCACTGCAGTGATGGAGTTGGGAAGAGGCAGCGGTGTTCACAGCTGTTGACCCCCTTGTGCTGCCCATATCATCACTGTACGGGCTCAGCATCTCTGGCCCAGCTTGCCCAGGTTGTCTGATGTGAACTCTCGCAGCACCCAGGGTTTGCTGTGCCCTAGTCCCCTGTGTGGGCCTGCGGTGCCCCTCTCCCCCTAGGACTCAGGTTGAAGCCAGGTCCCTCTGGGCCGAGGACTTGGGCCCTGGGGGAGGGGCTGTGACCCACAGGTGGGGTCAGGGGCCCCAGGGCACGCTGCTGCCTGGCTGGGGCTGTGGGAACCCCATGCTCAGCCTTCCCTCCTGAGGCCGTGAGGGGACCAAGTCCCCCGCTAAGTATTTCCCAAGGCCAAGAAGACAAAAATATAAAATAAAAAAAAAATAACAGTAAAAATCAAGGTCCAGCAGCCATCTGGGGCTGCAAGGCAGCTAGGCGGGTGCCACCTGGGCTCCTTCCATGCCGTGTTGTTCTTCTACTGAGGGGAGTAGCGGGCAGGGGACACCTTGTTGCAGGGGTATCTCTCGAAGTGCCTCCTCCCTGTCATAAACCCAGGCAGGGCCTGGTGTCGCGGTCCCAGTGGGCTCGCTGGGCGGGGTGCGTCTTGTTGTTCCAGGGCTGCTGTCCATAGAAGATGGAGAAGTGACAGAGTCCCAGGAGCCGTGTTCAAAATGGCAGCACAGGAAACATGGACCCCCGACATGCGGGTCTGTGTGGAGCTGTGACATAGAGTTCCTGGACAAGTGTTTCCGTGTAATACAAAGCCTGACCTCACCGGGGGACAGGCTGCCGTCATCTTGAACCTCTGGGCGCCCCAGAGAACAGCCTGCTGCCCTGGGTTCTTGAGAAGCCCCTGGGCCCCTGACATGCAGGTCTGTGTGGAGCTGTGGTGTAGAGTTCCTGGACAAATGTTTCCGTGTAATACGAAGCCTGACCTCACCAGGGGACATCCTACCCTCATCCCGAGCCTCTGGGCCTGTCGTACAGCAGTCTTCTGCCCTGGGTTCTGGGGAAGCCCCCTCAGAGTCCCAGGAGCTGTGTTCAAAATGGCAGCACAGGAAACATGGACCCCCGACATGCGGGTGTGTGTGGAGCTGTGGCCTAGCGTTCCCGGACAAGTGTTTCCGTGTAATACAAAGCCTGACCTCACCCGGGGACAGGCTGCCGTCATCTCGAGACTCCGGGCCCCTCAGACAGCAGTCTTCTGTTCTGGGCTCTTGAGAAGCCCCTTCGTGCTGATGGACCTCAGCCTGGGCCTTGGGGACAGCCCCGTTAGGCCAGGCTGGCAGAGGACAAGGCTTTTGTCCCAGGGGCACTGATGGCATGAGCTCCTGGAGCTGAGCTGGTGGGGTGGGAACGGCCAGTCTGTCCCCCTCATGGAGGGGCTCAATGCCAGGGGACACCCTCGAGGACCATTGCTCCAGCTCAGCTGAAAAAAAAGAAACAGACATGGTCAGCATCTTCTCCAAGCCCATCTGGTCTCTTGAGGGCTACGCCCCATAGGCCTGAGTCTCTGGAGTCCTCTGGGTCCCTGTGCAGCCCCCTGGCCTGACACTGAGGACGACCCTGCAGGCTGCTGATTCCAGGGCGCAGTCCGTGTGCAGTCTGGGGTGGGGGAGCTTTCGGGGAACCTCAGGTCGCTTCTGAAATGCCCCCAGGGTTCAGGGTGGCTCAGGGATTCCTGCTTCACACCCTTACCTCAGGGCAGTTTGGCAGCCCCGATTCAGGACTCAGGTGGGAGGGATCTGCACTGTCACCCAGCCCCCTTGCCACCTCACATGGGGGCCTGTCTCCATAGCGAGTGAGAAGGGAATGGGCACAGGTTCCCCTCTACCCTCCAGGCCGCCTACCCCATGCCAGGGCTGAAGTGATCCCACACTGGGCTGAACTCTTGGTTGTGGCTCTGGGTCAGGGCTTCCCCCAATGCCCTCTGCCCGAATCCTCTCTGGGTCAGGGACACTGATTCTCTTGTCCCCCTGGCTTTTTGTTTCAACACCCTTGGGGGGCACTAGAGAATGAGGGGTCTCTGCTGCTTGGAGGTGGGGGTGAGGGCTTCCACTCTCTGCAGCTTGGAGGTGGGGGTGGGGGCTTCCACAGCTGGGTCTGACTGGCCCAGTGTCCCTCAGGGCCCTTTGAGGGGGTGAGGGGGACAATGTGGAAAGTGGAGGAGGGGTTGGGGGGTCCTGCCCATGCCCCCTGCTTGTCCACTCAGCATGTCCAGCACACGCATGCACTCAGTGCCTGCCCTGAGGACCGGCAGACCCATTTGAGTTTCTTAGAGTAGAGGAGGAAGTGGAGGAAGAAGGGGTGCAGGAGGAAGGCCAGGTAGGAGGGCTGGTGGGGCCAGGGCACTCCCCACCATTGACTGTCCCAGAGGGAGACTTGGGAGGGGACCTGGTGCTGGGGCTCACCTGGGGGTGGCAGGTCCCAGTGTTTTTTTGTGAGTTCCTTCATAGAGGCTTGAAGATTCCTGAGGACTGTGTTGTCTTCCAGGGCCCAGCTCTGAGACAGTCGCTCCTGAAACTCCCAGATGGTGCTCCAGGAAAGCTTCATGAGGCGCTCTAGGGACAGGGCGGGCATCAGGCCAGGAGGGTTCCCTCGGAGGGGTCAGTGCCTGCAACCCCATTTCCACCAGGCCCACCTCCCACTGGTGGTGCCTGGTCCTTTTTGGCCACCCCGGGGTCCAGCTGTGCACAGGAGGCTACAGTTGAGGAAGGCCGGGCAGGGAAGTGCTCACCACATTCCTGACTTTCATCTGGGTCATGTCAGGGGTGGACTCAGTGTCATCATGCCTTGCCCAGCCCACCAGGCCAGACCCCCTAACCCGGATGGAGCAGGCAGTGTAAGGACACGTCCCTCAGGCCAGCGGGGTCTGTCCCACGTGTTCCCCCAAGCACCCTCGGGCACATGGGACTTACTCCTGTGTATTTTGAATGATGCATGCGCCATGGCTGTCAGTAATCGATTGCCCTCCAAGATGAGCACATCCCACAGTCTCAGGGTGAGCCCGAAGGATTTCTGTGGGAACGGCAAGTGTGAGAGAACTCGGCTTTACAAGCTGGGGCCAGTGGCCTGAGCAGGTCCCACTGGGGTTTCAGTCCCCTGAAGTGCTGGGGATCCCCTCCATGGGATGAGACCCCCCCGTAAGACTGAGTCAGACAAGGTCCTGTAGCTCCTCATGGGGGACTCATCTCAGCAGCGCCGTGACTTCTGGAAGGAGGGGTTTCCTGAGGACTTGGGGCTTCCCTGGGCCCTCACAAGTCGGGTCCTGCCCCAGTTTGCCCACGAGGCTGGGCCTGAGCCTTGGCCTCTGCCATGGGATGCCCCCTCTTGGGCAGAGCCTGGCTTTTGAGCCCTGCAAGGACCTGCCTGTGCCTCCTGTGGGCTGGAGGTAAGCCAGGTCCTCCTGGGGGAGCTGGACCCCTGAGCTGAGGGTGCTGGGCACTGCAGGGTAGAAGAGTCCCAGGGCTGGGGTCTCCCTGTGCCTCCTTACCGCATCAAGGAAACACCGGAGGAGCCTCATCAGCATGGAACCCTCAATGGACAGCCCTTCCTTGCCCTGAAGGGAGGAGCAGAGGTGCTCAGGGCCCCTGAGCTGCCCTGAAATCCTCCCACTTCCAGGCCCCTCTGCAGACCCTTCCTTAAGAGGCACAACCCAGGGTGATGGCCAGGGCTCCAACACCCGCCCCATGCACAGACACCCGGTGGACACACTTCTTTTAGCCCTGCTCAGCTGCAGCTCGGTCCTGGTCCCAGCGCCTCTGCCTCTGCTAGGGCAGGAGAAGGAAACCCAACACCGAAACCATGGGGAGTCTGCATCCCAGGTCAGGCCGTGGCTGGGACTCAGCCTCTTGCCAGCACCATGAGGGACTCGAGCCTCCCCTGGCCTATGGGGCCCAGGGCCTCTGGGGAGGAGCCAAGGGTGTCATCCACTCACCAGGTGTCTCATGATCTTCGGGAAGGACTTGTGCAACACCTGCTTCTGGTGTGATAGGAGCCTCTCAAGCTGGGCAGCATCTGGGCTGTAGAATACTGAGAAGTCCCCGACCCATCACCCCATCAGATCCCACGCCCAAGATGTGGAGGCATCAGCTGGAAGATCTGGGCAGGGCAGGGGACCCCAGACCCCGAGGCCTCCCTCCCTCCCATCTGGTGACCCCAGCATGCAGCCTCAACCTTGGCAAGGAGGGCCCTGGCTGGAGGTGCTGCCTAGTAGCATCCCAGGTCCAGGTGCCCGGAAGGCAACCTGCCTTTGACACCACGAGGCAGGCGCTGGTTGGGAGAACAGGATGGAAGCTGGGGGCTATGTGGCCATCTCTTGGATGTGGGGTCACGCTGGGGGACATGGGATGGGCAGACACTGCCATCTTGGCTTTGTTGGCCCATCTGTAGGGAGGGAAGGTGGCTGGGAGCAGAGCCAGCTGGGAGGCAGAAGGACTTTCAAGGAGGTGAGTGGCGCCTGCACAAAATCGGGGCTGGCTTTGGGTGACAGAGGGCGGCCTGGGGGAGGTATCCATGTCCTCTGATATTAGGGATGAAAGGCGTCTGACTTGAGGTGAGGGGGTCCCTGTCCAGACCCAGGCTGCTGTGGGACCTCAGAAGGGACATCCTGGAGGCTCCAAACAAGCTGGGATACAAGGAAGACACCTTGCCTGGAAGTTGGGGTCACCGGCCAGGGTGACATGGCTGTGTAAGACCTTGGGGGCAGCTGTCCACCTACCCTGCAGGGAGTGTCTCTCACCAGCCAGCAGCTGGGTCAGCGCCCAGAAAGCATCTTCCTCTGGCAGATACAGGAGGAGGATGGCAGTGATGAGGCTCAGGTCCCTGTGGTAGCCCACCTCCTGCAAGAGCCAGAGTCACCGTGGAAGGATGTCACCTGGGAGGGCTGAGGCCACCTGGGAGGATTTACATCACTAGAGATGGCAGAGGTCCTTGGGGACACCTGCCTCAGGCCCCAGAAGATTTGAGGTGCAGCTGTGCACCCCTCCCCTGGCACTGGGCATGAGGACTGAGCAGATCACACACAACTCAGTTGACAAGGAGCATGGATGGACTCCTGCAGCGCGCGTCCAAGCTCACATGGCCCGAAAGGGCACAGTCAGGGATTGTTCATGCTCCCTCCCCTGGGCCAGGCTGGGGAGGCCACTGTGCCAGGCCTGGGGCAGCACCTCTGAACTGCACCCGCCACGAGGGCAGGTGGCGGGGCGCTGACCACCACACAAAGGGTCCTGCAACCGCCCAAGGGCTGCCTGCCAGACACAGGGGGTGGCTGGGTCCTCCATGTGGGCAGCTCATGCAGTCAGCTCAGTGGCTCTCCTGGCCTGGAAGGGTCTGGAAAGTGGGGGCCAAGCAGGAGCAGCCACCTGGGTGACCCCTCCCTATCTGCTATGCTCCTATGGGGTCTGGGCAAAGGGGAAATTGGATCATTGCCAAGTTTCCAGTAAGAAGAGGCTCCCCCAGGATGCAAACTCATTTCAGGACAAGAGCCTGACCCATCAGGCACCTCAGCAACTTCTCAAACCTGCCTCCTATGAGGACCATCCTGCGTAGGCCCCTGCCAAGCTCCTAGGCTTTGGGGCAACACCTTGAGAGGAAGGTCATTTCTTCATCTGAGACGTGGTGATTGGGTCAAGGTGACAGCAGGAGTCTGGGCTTCAACCCTTTTCTGCCAGCAGGGAGCTTGAGTCCTGCCTACTACGAGCTGGTGGGTCACGAACACTGAATTTTCAAGAAGTGCCGACACCCCCAAGAGACACCCATGCCTGTGAATATGGGTACATGGCCCAGGAATATCGCTGCCCGGGAATACTCACAGGGTTATATGCAGAATAGGCCACAAGGATGTCACATAATTCCTGCTGCCTAGAAAAGAGGGAAAAGAGGATTTTGTTTGTTTTGTGCAGATGCTGTCAGTTTCATTTTCTCTACAAACCCAGACAGCAAACACAATTCTGGGATAAGGTGATCCCCCAAATAAGCAGTGAGCTCTTCAGGACACCTGAGTTTTTAGGAATTTTTTTTCTGTAAAATCCATATTCGTTGCAATGCAAATATCACAGGTGTACAGTTGGATCAGTGATTATTTTCACTCTGGTTGATTTTTTTCTTCCCCTTTTGCTCGAGTTGCAGACACGGAAGTCCAGTCTTCGGGATGTGCAGTTCCATGATTCTGAACCAATGTGCAGAGCCTCCCGTCCACCACTGCAGCCCCTCCCAGAGCGGCTCCTTCAGCCTCCAAGTCCCCAGCGTGTCCCCTTTGCAGCCAATGTCTCCCAGCTCTGTCAGCCCCTGGCCATCCTGACCTGTTCTCTGTCTCTATGCTTTGCCCTTTTCCAGAATGGCCTATGAATTGGAATCCCACGGTGGTAGCCTGTGGGGTCTGGCGTCATTCCCTCAGCAATACACATCTAAGATCCACCCATGTTCCTGCGGGCATTAGGGGTTCGTTCCTTTTCCTCCCTGAGTCGTCTCTCTCTGAAGAGTGGAACCCCCTTCCTCCTAAGTTCCCGTGTTGAAAAGCATCTCGGTAGCCTCCGGGTGTGAGTGACAATCAATCAAGCAGTGAATGTGGCATGCGGGTTTTACTTGAACCTCAGTTTTCACATCAGTGTGGTCAATATCTGTCACACTTTGGGAATGTGTGGTACAAGGCCACTGAACTTTGTGAGTCACAGCCCATCTGACTTACAAAGTGGCTGTGTCCTGTCACATTCCCACCAGCCAGGGATGAGAGTTTCCAGAGCCCTGCATCTTTTCTAGTATTTTGGGCTGTCAGTGTTGCCCGGGAAGGCTCCCAAGCCCTGCCATCTTGCCACCTTCCCATGGGTCCCTACCCTGGGTAGTTGTGGGTCATGGAGAGCACTTTTCACTGTCCGCATTGTTATTATTATTTTTTTCTGCCTTCCATCTCCTTGTGAGCCACCTGGGTTCTGGCCCTAAACGTCCCAGCCCGGCCCAGGGCTTAGAGCCAGGGAGGTGCTCAGTCCATGGTGCTGGCTGCTCCCTGGGCCAGGAGAGCCCTTGGTGGCTCTGTCACCCCTCCTGGGTGACCCTGGCCTCTGCCCTGGGGACACCCTCATCCCTCTGGATTGCCCCCATCTTCCCTGTGACCCCTGCAGCCCCCATAGGCCTTACTTGACTCCAAATCTTTGTATGAACATCATGTGGTTCTGCAGGGTGCTGTTGACATCTAGCTGGATGCGGTGGGTGATCCTGGAGGACCTCTTGCCCTTCTCCTTCATGACCTGTAGGGCAGGGCCAAGAGGAGGAAGCAGCCTCAGAACAGACAAAAGATTTCCTGCCCCAAACGGCAGTCATCCCACAGTCAGCACTTCTGGAAGGAAGGGAGGAAGGTTTCCTTCTGCAGAAAGCTCCTTTTTGCCTTGTTTCTGAAGCCAGGGAGGGTCACGGAGCCCAGTGCACCTGTGGTGCCTGAGTCACCATCTATGCTCAGGATGTGCGTCTGACCACAGCCCCCATCCCCAACCCAGGCTCTATATTCCCTCCAGCTGGAGTCCTGGGCTCCTGATACAGCCTGGCTTGTTTGTCCTGCCCTGGCTGTGTGGGAGGGACTTACCTTATATTTGCCTGGATTCTGGGACTTGACTTTGTTAATATCTAGCAAAAGTGACCATGCCTGGCCCCGCACCACCAGGGGGATGCCTTTGTATACTCTTTGAGACAGCTATAGACAGAAGAACACACCAGTGAGACAGGACACAGGGCGACTCCGTGGAGGAAAGCTGGCGGACAGGCCTGCTGTGCTATGGTGAGGAGGGGGTGCCACCCACCCACTGAGGCAGACAGTGCCAGGTCTGCTATGGGTGCCTGTCCCCTGGCTCTGCAGAGAGCTGTCACAGGGGCCACTCCCTCCCCATGTTACCTTCTTGGTGTTCCTATATTTTGGCCATTCTGCAAACATCTTTAGCCACTTGTTGGTACGTTTACTTTCCTTGCGTCTTTGCTGTCAAATGAGCCATGATGGGGTTAGCGGAGCTGCCAGGCCTCTGACAGTGGCCCGTGGATGCTGGGTCCAGGGCTTTGGGGCCCTGAAGAGACCCAGCCTGAAGGAACCAGGAAAGGGCAGACCCCGGGGGCTGAGACCCTCTGAAGGAACCAGAGCTGGTAGTCTGGACTGGTGATACCAGAACACGCCATCCTCAGGCCATAAATGCCCCGAGTTTGGGTTAGGTCCAGCCTTCAGCTGGGGTCTTGGTTCAAACAGGCAGTGGACTCTGAGCCAGGACTGCAGTTCTTGGTTTGGGTTTTGGTCAAGCCCTCATGGAAACAGAGTGAAGCAGGAAAGGTCGCCCCTCCCAGTGACAGCTGTGGCCCACTCACCACCACACAGGCCCATAGGCCACCCCCTCTGCCTCACTGACCACCCGATTCCTGGCCCCTGGAGCGGCCTCCCACGCAGCAGGCACAGGCTCTTACCTTCACCTCCAGGGCTCTTATCGGGGGCAGTTCCGTCTCACTGTAAGGCAACCCAGGCAGAGCTGAGGACCTGGCTGAGCCAGGAACCATCCCCCTACCTGAGAGGGCCCCGGGGAAGGACCAGCCTATCCCCATCCACCCTAAGCCTCAGCCTGGGAGAAGACACAGAGAAGGACGGCAAGGGCCTTCCTGCGGATCTGACACCTGCGAGGCACTGGGACCCTGAAGAGGAGGGAGCTCGAGGCTGGTCTGGCAGCGGCCACTCGGGGCCCATGCGGTGCCTCGGGCTGCACAATGGGGCTGCTCCTCCAGGGCTGGAGGTGACACCCTCTGTGGATGCTGAGAAAGTCCAGTTCTGAGACGGGATGGGTGCCGCCCCGGGTGGGTGGCCAAGCCCTGACTTACAGCAGTGCTTTCAGAGTGACCACATCACCCACCAGAGTCCAGGGAGCCTGGCCTGAGCGCTGCCTGGTGCCCTGAGGACACACCTGGAGCCCATTCCATCTGACACTCCCCATGGGCCTTGCAGGGTCTGATCTCCCAGCATGCACCTGCCTTCCCCTGCATCCTGGCCGCTCAGCCTGCCTGCTCCCCATCTTCCCCCATCCTGCCTGGCCCAGAGACTGTGACCCTCTCTCTGGCCACCCTGACCCTTCTGTGACCCCGTCCTGTCAGAACCTCTGACTGAGACCTCCCAGATCCATCCACACCCATGCCTTGGTCACTCTCTCATTGGGCTGCCCAGCACTGCTGGGGAGACATCCAGGGCAACAAGGGTGACCAAGGGCCCTGCAGGCAGTGGGGCTGGCCCCACCACTCCCGCTGCAGCCTCAGCTGGCTCTCAGGGTAATTGGCCTTCAGCCCTCAGCCTCCTCCCAGCCACTGCAAAAACCAGGACATGGGATGCCTGCCTGTCCTCCGCCTACTGTCCTGTCTGCCCCGACTCGGCCCCTCCATCCACCCTGCACAGTGCTGACTGAGCCAGCAGGAAGCAGAGTCTCTGGAGGGCCACGCAGAGCCTTGGGGACTGACCGAGTCCCCCCACTGAGAGGTCCCAGATGAGCCACTGTTCCCTGCCCACCCCATCTGTTGTCCTGCCCAGGCTGTCAACTCCACCCTGGGCTGGCTTTGTTCAGGTGCGTTCCAGAAGTGGCAGGTCTCAAGGTCTCACCCTTCCCTCCTCCCCCAGGTTCCTCCCTCTCTCCATCCTGGGAGTCCTGAGGGGCTGGCTCCAGGCTGGGCTCCCCTTACCAGGCGCAGGTCCCTTCCCAGCACCACTCCCAGGGCCTTCAGCTGCTCGCTCTGTTGTCCCCCTGGCCTCAGTGAGAAGCCAAGGCCAGGGCCCTGCCCTTCGTCTTCCACAACCTATCAGGGCCAGGGCCAAGGCCCTCACTGTCCCCATACCCCTTCCTCTTGGCTGAGCCCCCTGAGCCCTCAGAGGTCTGCTATACAGCTGCCCACAGGCCAGGCCAGATGCCCCCCTGCCCTGTGGCCACAACCCTCAGATCTCACCAAGGCAGGCCCTAAGGGGACAGGGCCAGATCCTCAGGCTGCCTCCTCCTCTCCAGCTTACTTGGAGACGACAGTGCTGAGAGTCCACGGGCCTGCCCTGAGAGTCCCCTCTCTGTCCTGACTCCCTCTCCTGAGCTCCCTAAATGTGTCATGAGGCTATGCCCTAACCGTGACCACGGGCTGGGCCTGCAGGAGAGCCTGGAAGAGTTCTGACCCTGGAGAGGAGATGGGTCCAGCCAGGGAGACGTATCCTACTTCAGAGAAGCCTTTCTAAAAGCAAAACCCATCCCTGAGGTGAGATTGGTGGCTGGGGGCGGGGGGACAGAAGACTCACTGCACAATCCCGAGGTGATTCATGTATTTCCTGATGTTGACCTGCTCATTCCTCATGTCCGCGGCTACCCCAGCTCGGTGTCCCTGAAACCCAGAGGAGGCCAGGGTAAGCGGGGGCAGGGTGAGAGGTGTGGGGGGCCCAGGGATGTGGGCAGCCCCTCTCCACCCGGTGATCTTAGGGAGCCCAGGACCCTCTGACCAGGGCACAGCGGGAGAGGCAAGGTCCTGCCTCCCTCGAGGGAGCAGCCCAACCTGTACCTGCTCATACTTAGTAATGATGGTGTTGCCTTGCCCCTGGGCAGGCAGGGTATCCAGGTCCTCATCCATCTCCATCCTGCAAGACAAAGTCATCCAAAGGCTCTGCTGCCCCTGAGAGCTCCAGAGCACAGCCGAACCACGCTCACTGCACTCCCAGACACCCTCCAGTCTGGTGAGCCCCATTCCACCACCCCTCCCAGATGACAAGGGGCCAGACTACGTGGCCCCACTCCTGGCTGGATCTCTGGAGTCCTTGCCTCCAACCAGTGACGGGCTCCTTCCTAAGGACTTGAGCACATGGAGACCCATTCGGGGACAGAGAGGCCCATTGTCCCCAAACACCCCAAGGCAGACACACACCTGCCCCGGCAGGACAAACGGTGTCCACTTGCGGATGGTGAAGGGCCCACGATGGCCTGTTCTGGGCACCTGGAGGCAAGTGGAGTCAGGGACCGGATGTCTCTTAGGATCGTTCAGAAACCAGGAAGATACTCAGTTTTCTGTAGGAAGCAAGACATCTGGTGACTGCTTCATTCTGCCCCAATTCTCACTCACTCTAGCCAGTGAAGCCGCTTCAGGAACAACACCAGCCAAGCAGTTTGGTTTGAGGAAAAGATGATCTATTGACTCCGGAGCAGCCTCTGTGCTCGTGGAGACCCCGTCTCAGGTGGAGGATGGCGGACACCACAATTCCTAGCTGTCAATACCGGAGGGGACTTTGTTTTCTTGGGTCACCAAGAAAGAACAAGAGAACTCTGGGGCCTTAGTCCTAGAGAACACCCGGGGGGACCGTCCCTGCCGGGAATACTCGGGGCAAAGGGATGGTAAGGCCTCTAGAGGATCAGACAGAGAGAATGGGATGCTGCGGGAGGGTTCCAGTCCCCAAGCCCCTTTGACCAGGAGGGACGATCGTCACCCTCCAGGCAGCCCTCCAGGGCTCCTTCATTTTCCACAACTGCTTGAGGGCAGAGGGATCCCTGCCCCACTCCCAGACAAAGGACCCCATATGTCCAGTGGGTCCAGCAACCATCAGTGACCGCATCTGAAGTCTGAGTTGGTGAGCCCTCCTCCTGTGGGGACCCAGCTTAGGGCCCAGACTTGGACTGAGAATTGCAACCTCCACCCCACCCACAGGGGCTCTGTCCCAGTGGCTCTTCCAGGACCAGACCCTGCCTCATTGAAGTCCAGAACTCCAGGAAGATTTGGAATCTACAGTAGGGAGGCCACAGAGGTCAGAGCTCAAGTCCAGCATGGCAAAGGGTAGGGCTGAGAGCAGAGACCAGGTCACATCTGGGTCTCTGGGCCAGTCACCGCCTCTCTGAGTCTACACATCTCACCCGTGGAATGGCTACATTTGGGGACAGCACCCACCTCACAGAGTCACTGTGAGGACAAAGGAGAGGGCGGTCCACTTAGTCAGTGCAGAACATGCACCCGGTGAGTGCTCAGGGATGACCCTCCTCGGCATCTGCCCAGAGGTCACTCACCTGAGTCTGCTGAGGCAGCTGTGTCTGTCACTTAGAAAAGTCGTTTATGCATAGAACCAGACACCTGTGTGTATCCTGTGTCCAAGTGCTGCACAACACAGAGGTGGGCGGGTGGGCGGATGGGCAGTCACTAAGCACCAGTGACATTGTGGGGTCATGGCACCTGTCACAATGGACCCATTTCCCAGGTCAAGACAGCCCAGAGTCAGTGTCCTCCAGCCCCCAAGGTGTCAAAATGTGTTTGTGCAGGTGAGCATGCACGTTTATGTGGGTGAACATGTGTGTGCACAAGTAGCTTCTCTGGCCAGGGCTGGCTGTCCCACTTACATGTGCACCCAAGTCCTTATCAAGTCCTCAGCAGTGTCACCTTCCCTTGAGGCCTGTGGCCAGCATCAGAGCATCCATGGGTCCTCCCCAACCTCAGGCCTCCCCACCCGGGGCAGTCCTGAAGATGCAGATTGGGGCTAGGGGATAGAGGGCACAGGGCAAGGCCCCTCATTAGGGGGAACTCAGCTAGACTGTAAAATGCTAGATGTGAGTGGCAGGGTCGGATTCCACACATCTTCTCACCTCCTCCTCCCAGTAGCCTTCCAGGGTGCCATGACTCATAGCTGCTACGGATGGAGGCAGGGAGGCTCTAAGGACAAACCCCGTGCCTGAGGTCACCCAGCAACCATCTGGCCAGGCCCCCACTAACCAGACCTCTGCTGGCCAGGCTTTCACTGACCGTTTTCCCAGTGACCAGGCCTTCTGACTAGGTCCTCACTGATCAGGCCCCTGATGACCAGGCTCTAACTGACCATGCCCCCACTGACCAAGTTTTCATTGACTAAGCGCCAGTGGCCAAGCCTCTGCTGACCTGGCCCCTGATGACCAATTCCCCACTGACCATGTCCTCTCTGACCAGTCCCCCAGCAACCAGGCCTTCCTGACCAGGTCCCCACTGTCCAGATCCCCCCTGCCCAGGCCCCAGAGCAGCAGTGCTCAAGGTCCCCTACCAGAACTGCCCACAGGCAGAGGGCTCCCTACTCCCAGACAAGGGACCCCATGTGTCCAGTGGGTCCCGCAGAGACCATCAGTGACTGCATGTGAAGTCTGAGTTGGTGAGACCTCCTCCTGTGGGGACCCAGCTTAGGGCACAGACTTGGACCGAGCACCACCTCCCTCCACCCCACCCATAGGAGTTCCATCCCAGGGGCTCTTCCATGGCCAGACTCTGTCCCATCAGGCGGCAGAAAACCCTGGGCAGATTTGGAATCTAGGGCTACAGAGGTCAGGGCGTGCACAGGGCAGGACTGAAAGCACAGGCCAGGATCACATCTGGGTCCCTTGGCCAGTCACTACCTCTCTGACCCTAGACATCTCACCTGTGGAATGGGTACATTTGGGGACAGCACCCACCCCACAGATTCCACCAGGTCAGTCCAGAACAGGCACCTGGTGAGAGCTCAGGGATGACCTTCCTCGGCACCTGCCCAGAGGCTAGCACTGCCCACCAGGTACTGACTGTCCCCAGGTCAGCAGGGAGGGAACAGAGCAGGTCACACTCACCTGAGTTGGTTGAGTCGGTTGTGTCTCTTACTTAGCAAAATCTCCTCTTCTGAGAACCAAACAACTCTATGTCTTGTCTCTAAGAGCTCCAGACACAGAGAGGGCAGGCAGGCAGGTGGGCGAGTGCTCAGCACCAGTGATATTGTGGGGTCATGACACCCATCACAATGGGCCCCTGCCTGGGTCAGCAGGGCACAGTCAGCACCCTCCACCCTCTGATGTGTCAACATGCTTGTGTGCAGTTTGTGCATGTGAGCAGGCACGTGTATGTGGGTGAACACATGTGTGCACGCCTTTGTCACTGCTCTGGCTGGGCCCGGCTGCCTTACTCACATGTGCACCCAGGACACTGGGTCACCCTTGTCACTGTCTCCTGCCTCGGGACCCATGGCCATTGTCAGAGCATCCACGGTGTTCCCTAAACTCAGACCTCCCCATCCAGGGCAGTCCTGGCATTGCAGATGGAGGATGCGGACAGAGGGTTGAGGGTTGGGAGCAAAGGGCAAAGGGCAGGTCCCCTCCCTAGCAGGGGACTCAGCTAGGCTGTAAAGTGCTAGATCTGTTTGGCAGAGCTGGATTCCACACACCTGCTCACCTCCTCTTCCCAGCAGCCCTCTGGAGTGCCATGACTCGTTCCCACTACAGATGGTGGCAAGGAGGCTCCAGGGACAAATCCTGCCTGAAGTCACCTAGCAGCCACCTGGCTAGGTTTATGCCAGCCAGACCCCCACTGACCAGGCCCCCGCTGACCAGGTTCCCACTGACCAGTCCCCCACTGGGCAGAACCCTGAGCTGCGGTGCTCAATGTCCCCTGCCAATGACTCCTCCCTCAGTCCGCAGACCTCCCTTTCCCTCATCAGCACCCACAGGCCATGCCCTAGGGGGTCTTCTTGGTCAGGCCCTTCCTCCAGGACACAGGGAGGGACAGTTGGCCTCAGCCTCTGGGTGCCCAGCTTCACACTTGCCCCCAAAAGCCCTCTGGGCTCACCTCAAAGGGGGTAGTGAGGTGGCCTGGCACTGCCCGGACATGATATCTCAGCCTATTCCTGAGCTGCAGAGCTAGAGGAACGGGGGGACATTTTTCAGACCAGGCACCCCATTTTGCTGGGTCTCCCAGGGTTCTTCCTAGGCACAGCACCGAGGCTGTAAGATGACTGGCCCAGAACCCTTGAGACTAGGCTGGGGACCGCATGAGAACTGTCCCCAGATGACCAGAAGACCCTTTGCTAATTTCCTGGTACCTCATTTCTCACCAGTTACCCTTCCCCCACCAGGAATCCCCTTCTTGCAGAGTCGATGAGGAGAGGAAGATAGTCACAGAATCCATGGAAAGAAAGAAAACAGAATGACAATAGAGCGTCATCTATTTCCTGTCCATCCGAAAGGAAAGCCTAAGGAAGCCTATTGGGTTCCATCACCCCGAGGGTCCCAAGGATGGCATCACACAGTGCAATGCCCAACAGCAGGGGCTGTGCTCCATCCCTGCAGACGTCACTGAGGGCACAACTGGGGTTGTCCAGGGTCACCGACCTGGCCACACAGCAGAAACTGGGTCAACAGGAGTGCACACAGGCGCACATGTGTACACTCACATACTGGAATAAAATGAATTGAATTTTGTAGCAAGTGTCCACGTGCACATGCACACACACACACACACACACACACACATAAACTTGTTGCTGATCTGTTGACTTATCTCATTGGCATGAAACAGCAGCTAAGCCTGTAATTGCTCTGCCTTTCCTGGGATTTTTCCTTTAGTTTCTCTGACTGCTGGGTTACTGGCCTATGTTTAGCTTCATGGACATGCGTTTCACTTTATTTTTATAGGGTTCCAGCTCTTGCTCATGGAATCCCTCCTTGCCTGTTCTGTAATCTTCCCTTGTTTACTGCCTGTGGACTTCAAGTACCAGACCCAGAGAAAGCTTTGTAGAGACTGTGTACTCCGCCCCCACAATTTCCCTAGCAGGTCTCTTAATTCCCATCACCATCCAGGGAGGGTCATTGCTGGGATCCTAGGAATCATGTGCTTTGTCTCAATGGCCACAGTGGTAACCATAATAGTCAGTTCTTCTCTCTGTGCAATTCTGGAACATAAAAATCTTCTCTGGTAACAAGACTACAGAAAGCAATGAAAGCAACATTAAACAGAGTTTGTTGGCCTGTGTTCCTAAGAAATTTAATGTTTTTACATAAATAATGAAGAAGAAATGACTTTTCTAAAGTTCCTATCATTTATGCCATGGATTGGACTCTTCTGTGAAGGCCGTTTCATTGATGGATGTGGATAGTTAGCTTAATTTCAAGTAAAAGGTTAGAGAGCAAATTGTAAACACAACTGTGCTTTTTGACACTCAAACGACATTAATTAGTTTTGGATCTCTAGAAATATATATTTGCACACATAGGTTCTATATTGAAATACCCAAGTGTGGAATCCTTCGGGTGACTTATTTTTCATCAACTAGAAATAATATTAAAATTGCAAAAATTTATTATAATTTATATTATTTGTCCTAATGGCAAAAATGAATTCAAATACATTTATTCAAGTATAATATACACAGGAATCCTATTATTCTACTACTCAGTGATTTCTTACAAAGAGGAGATATGCTTGGAACTACCACACAGTCCAAGAAAATGAAATAAAAATAACAATCTGGAAATCCCTCTCCTGAAGGTCTGCTCCCTAACCACTGCCCATCTGTCTTGCCAAAGCAAAGAGTCACCTGGTTTTTAGCGGCCTCAGTTAGTGTTGCCTGTTTCATAAATGGATGCATGGAGGGCCATTCGGTAGGAATGGTTTTGTGTGTGGCTTCTTTGGCCCAGCATTATTACATTTGTGACACTCCTTCATGAAGCAGTTCTCTTTTTTTGAGACGGAGTTTCGCTCTGTCGGCCAGGCTGGAGTGCAGTGGCGCGATCTCGGCTCACTGCAAGCTCTGCCTCCCAGGTTCATGCCATTCTCCTGCCTCAGTATCCCAAGTAGCTGGGACTACAGGCGCCCACCACACGCCCGGCTAATTTTTTTGTATTTATAGTAGAGATGGGGTTTCACTGTGTTAGCCAGGATGGTCTCCATCTCCTGGCCTCGTGATCCATCCGCCTTGGCCTCCCAAAGTGCTGGGATTACAGGCATGAGCCACCGTCCCCGGCCCAAGCAGTTCATTTCTTTTCCCCGCTCGGTAGTATGAATATGGCACATCTATCAATTCTACTGTTGATGGACATTGGTTTGTTTCCATTTTGGGACTATTAGCAATAAAGCCACTATGAACATTCTTGTTAATTTATTTTGGTACACATGCATAGATATTTTAGTTAAGTACAGACCTACAAATAAAATAGCTTGGTCATAGTAACTGCATATGTTCAAATGCAATGCATGTCACTAAAAATTTCAGCTAGGAGGAAAAGCTCAAGAGCTCTATTGTACAACATGTTGACTACAGTTAATAACAATGTGGTAATACTTGAAATTGTTGAGACAGCAGATTTTAAATGTTCTCAACACACACACACACACACACACACACACACACACACACAAGATAAGTATCTGAGGTAACCGATATGCTAGATAACTTGATTTAGCCATTCTACAACGTATGCCTGTGGCTATATATATACACACAGATTTAGCTATTCTACAATGTGTGTCTCTGTGTGTGTGTGTATATATATATGTAAAATGTGGTACAGCACAAATACATACAATTTATCAATTAAATTTTAATTCCAAAGAGTTTTTTGACTAATATATAACCCAACCACAAGTTTGAGTTCCAATTAGATGTCCTTTCCAACACTTGATTTTCAGTCTTCCTTTTATATAATCTGGTTAGTGGATAATGTTATTTCATTTTTTATTTTGGTCTTCTGATTATTAAAAGGCCTGAGACCATTTTCATAAATGTTTATTGAAAATGTATATAATCAGGCTGGGCACGGTGGCTCATGCTTGTAATCCCAGTACTTTGGGAGGCCGAGGTGGGCAGATCACTTGAGGTCTGGAGTTCGAGACCAGCCTGGCTAACATGATGAACCTATTAAAAACGCAAAAAAATTAGCTTGCCATGGTGGCAGGCGCCTGTAATCCCAGCTACTTGGGAGGTTGAGACAGGAGAAGTGCTTGAAATGGAGAGGCAGATGTTGCAGTGAGCCAAGAACATGTGTGCCATTGCACTCCAGCCTGGGGGACAAGAGCAAAACTCCGTCTCAAAAAAAAAAAAAGACCAAAAAAGAAAAGAAATTAGCCGGGCATGGTGGCACATGCCTGTAATCCCAGCTACTCAGGAGGCTGAGGCAGGAGAATCGCTTGAACCCGGGAGGCAGAGGTTGCAGTGAGCCAGGATTGCACCACTGCACTCCAGCCTGTGCTTCAAAAGTGAAACTCAGTCTCAAAAACACAAAACAAAAAAGAAAATGTATATAATCATATTTTCAGGGGTCTATGCAATTTTTTATACTTTTTTTACTGTGGTATCAATCTTTCTAAATGATCTTTGAGAAGTTTTTAAAAATAAATTCTTGACATAAGTTTTTGGGATTTTTGTCAGTTAAAGGTGGAAATATCTTCTCTTTATGAAAGATCTTGGTTGGGCGTGGTGGCTCACGCCTGTAATCCCAGCATTGTGGGAGGCTGAGGCGGGTGGATCACGAGGTCAGATCCAGAACACCGTGGCTAACACAGTGAAACCCCATCTCTACTAAAAACTACAAAAGAATTAGCCAGGCGTGGTGGTGGGCGCCTGTAGTCCCAGCTATTTGGGAGGCTGAGGCAGGAGAATGGCGTGAGCCCAGAAGGTGGAGCTTGCAGTTAGCCGAGATCACGCCACTGCACTACAGCCGGGCGACAGAGCCAGACTCTGCCTCAAAAAAAAAATAAAAATAAAAATAAAAAATAAAAATAAAAAAGAGCTTATTAAGCCGGGCGTGGTGACTCACGCCTGTAATCCCAGCACTTTGGGAGGCCGAGGCCAGGGGATCACAAGGGCAGGATATTGAGACCATCCTGGAGAACACGGTGAAACCCTGCCTCTACTAAAAATACAAAAAAATCAGCTGGCTGTCGTGGTGGGCGCCTGTAATCCCAGCTACTCGGGAGGCTGAGGCAGGAGAATCGTTTGAACCCAGGAGG